AAAACATACAACACCAGGTATTCGCTGATCGTCACCGACTCAACTACTAATCTGGCCCTCATCGGCTTGTCTATGGGAGAGCGGACGGGATCCCGAATTCTCCGATGGGTGTGGTCGTATGTACTCACTCCTAGGTGGAAATTGTTCTATATCGGGTGCGAGTGCAAGCACGAGCAGTGGCCGCCAAGGTCGCCGAGATCGGCCCCGTTGTCGGAAATAGGTCTGGTCTTCACTCTTGCCACGAGTGTCCAAGGCGGTACGGAGACTGGCCCGCGGCAGTTGCCCTGGCTTTTGGTCGCTGCGCACGCAAACCTGTATTTCGTGGCACAATTGCAGGCCGTACTGGGTGAATTCGTTGGCAGAAAGCGGCTGCCGTGCTTTGCGGACCTGGCAAAGTTGGCTCACATCAACGCTGTGGTGTCGGAAGTCCTGCGCAGGTGACCGGTCTCACCGGAAAGTATCCCGCGAGAGCCGAGAGGGAGGATGATGAGATCTGTGGCAAGCGAATTTTTAAGGTAGCGTCACTGTTTGCGATTTCTTGGGCTATTGGGATGGATAAAGATGTATTTGGTGAAGAGGTTGGAGATATGGGATCTTTGATCGCCGAGAAATGGCTGGACTTGGACGGTAGCTTACGTGCTGACGTGCCCCTACCTGTCTTTGGCCAAGGTAGACGGAGCTGTCTAGGCAAGCGAGTGTCCTTTGACAAAACCTTTATGATATTCGATGGCCTATCAGGGACCTTTAAGAGAGTACCGTTGGAGGAGGTCGACAATATGGCCATGGACACAACCGGCTTCATGACGGAACCCACTGATTTCAAGTTCGGCTCTAAGCCTCGGGGACCATGTGTGAAGCACGTAGTCCGAAGAGAGTGGGATACCGCTCAGACAGACTCGAGCAAGGTCACGAAATCTCGGTCAGACGTTGAGACTTGAAAGGTCCCGTCTTTGAAGAGACAGGGACAGGACGAACAAGACCTTAGGGCCTTGGCTTCCCAACGTATATGTTCATTTCGTTTAGTCCATCCATCTTGAATATGGAGCCAGCCGTATCCAAACGCTCGGAAATGACGGATACTGCTGTCAGTCGGATGCGTAGAATAATGCCTTACGACCTAGTAAGTAGAAATCTCCAATAAAGACTGTAAAGAATAAGTAATCCTTGGACGACGGCGTACTTAAATATCCACCAAAGTATGAGCCATGGAAATGGCAAAGTTAACTTGGCTGTGTCGTCGTCTCCTGAATTCTCTAACGGTCTTCTCCGCATTTGAAGTCAAGACTTCAGCCAGGTTCATCCTTCTGAGAACCCCGCGACACAAGCTTCTTAAGAGTATGGCTTCGCGCGGCCCCGGGCTGGGCGGTTTCGCTCGGTACAATGTCCGTCAAGCAACGCCAAGCTCTTCTCTCGGGCATAAACTGACTCAAACAGCTAACGGAATCAGCCAGCGAACGAATCGCATCTTTCTCGTCTTTCGTCTCTGTTCACAATAGTCCTGCACCTGAGGCAGTCATACGCTATGAGATTGATGACGGCTGCAAACTCTTCTCCTCGGAAGATTAGGACTGGGTTCGAAAAGATACTGTCTGCAGAATTGGATCAAGTCTCAAACCTGGGCGAAGCACAGTAGTCTTTCACGCTTAGTGAGCATCTGGAATTTCAAATGCAATGAATTCGCTGTAATCAAGAGCCAAAATCTAGCTATGGATGTAACAATGCTGGTGTACTCGATGTCCTTGGCGCCAAAGTAGTCGCTTGTGTGCCATATCACTATGCCATGTTCTACAGAACCTCTCTAACCAAGGTTCCGGTAGCCCTTTTATGCGCGCCTTGCCCCTTTGATCTTTGCCGAGTCTGATCCCCAAACCTGCATCGAGTAAGTATGAGATGGTGGTAGGCACATCATGGGGGAGTGGTCCGTACTCACGCCTATGAAATTCCAATTCTTACGTATGCCGATTTAACCAGAGCCGCAGACGCAGCCCTCACGGAGCGCTGGAGCGATGTTGGGGAATGGGAAGCACTGGCGGCCTTGGGCATCGCAGTTCTCGCTCTCCACGCCACAGGCGGTATCAGAGCAAGGTCCGGTGTATGGTGCCTGCGCGGCGACGGCGGCCACGAGGGTGAAAACGGTGAAGAAGATGCCACGCATGGTTGCTGATTTAAATGGGGATTTGGTAGTCTGGCGTTTGGCAATTGCGGGGGAGATTAGATGAGTTCGAGGCGTTTGAATCGGATGAAGTCGAAGCTGGAGACTGTTGTGTGATGATGATGAGCTAGTGAAGAGATGAGACTGAGACTACGCGTTCGTTCGTCTCGATTATATACTTCATTCACAACGAGCCCGTTTGCCTTCGTCTCCTCTTTTTACGTCCTATTCTTTACACTTTTGACAATAGCCAGGAGTATCATGTCTATTTTGGAGGTCTACTAATTGAGGCTCGGCCACAGACGTCTGGCGATGCAATCGGCTGGTGGCCCGAAAACCTTGGCTGCACCTTGGCAGGTTTGGAGTATTATCGGTTTCCAAGGGCGGCAGAAAGGATGCCAGCGACAATCGCAGTGAGGCAGGCTTAGTTAGCAGGCGATGGGAATCTGCTATGAGCGGTAAAAGAGTAAGAAGGCAAGAAAAGCTTGTGGCTGCCGTCTCGCGCTGGTCTTGGCGATGAACGTTTCAATTTTTTCTTGTCCTTCTCTTGGCTCTCTCTCGACCGTGGTGCGGGATGCTGTCCGCGTCTCATACATTGCCTTTATTTAGAAGGACGAAAGCGCCTTACTAAAATAAAGTCGCCAACCCCCCCACGATGGTTAGTGGTTTGACGATGGTGAGTTGTTCGCGCGGGTGGCCCCCACATGCGAATGGATTGAATGGTTCAGCAACTCTTGGGAGTTGTCAAAATAGTAAAAAGGGGGTTGTATCCTTGCCTGGTTGTTGTGTCGGTCGCTCCGCAGTTGTAGGTATTTCTGTACAGTTGCCTGGCGAGTCAGTGATCGCCCCGAGAGCCAATGCAACCAGAGGCTTGTTTCTGAAACTGTCCGACGGGATTGGAATGAAACGGGTCCGGGGTTGAGTACCGTATGCGCAAATGAGCACCTACGTACAGTATATCTGTCGATCCCGCCTCCACTTCGTTCTTGATGTATCATCTCTCACCCGACGTTTACATGTGCGATCTAACTATGTCGACGTAGAGTTGGGGTGGCCTATCTTCACTTACTATAGATACCTTACTGAGCCGTGGATACTACGATGCACGCTACGTTGTTCGCAATGAGTTGAAGCAAACACATCAAGTTGTACTGATGTCTTTTTGATTTTCCGAAACATTTCCGTCAAGGTAAGGTACCTGAGGATGAGGAAAAACAAACCGATTGAGCGCAGATAATGCGGTGACAAGCAGATAGCCGGACCGGGCACGGAGCAAGATAGTGGGTCTCGGCTCCGGAACTGGGATCCGACCGGCGGGTCGGACCTCCGAGGCGGCTGGTGCCTCATTCGTCCGATGTGGAATTTACTCCAGAAGCAATGTGCGCCACCAAGCGGCATGAGAACGCAACCATCATGAACATTGTCTGTTCCCTCACGTTTGTAGAACGAGATAGCTCGCTTATGATCAAGTTTCTTGAGAGCAGGCGCGTGATTAGAGCTTTTGACTGCCTTCGTAGTTTGGTAAGGATCACCTGATCAGTTCTGCACGTGACGCCTGCACAGCCACCCATTGGATTGCTGTCATCCCATCTCTTCCAGAGGCGGCTGCGTCATGGCCATTTACCTTTCTCATCCCAGCAACTTTTTCGACTCCAGACCATATTTCCAATCCTCGGGAGACATTGACATCTCTCTCTTTCGCAACCAAAAGACTGTATCCATCTTGTGCAATTGCCAACAAAAGCTCCACCAACCTCCAACAACACAATGGACCAATCTAGCCAAGTTGCCCCATCTGGGCGTGCAGATTCTCCTTCCACATTGAGCGACGCCCAACAGCCAGCCCCTTACCAACCCATGGGTGAGCACAGAATCCTCCATCTTATAGCCATAAACATTCGAACCTCTCACTAATCACCCTCGCCGCGCAAAAGATCCTCAGCGCCCACAGCCCCAGACAGAGCAGATGGAGATGGGCCTTCGCGGCGGTGATGATGGCCGTGGGCCTTGTCCCGGACGCTTCTGCTTTATCATTCCTTGCCCTATTCCTTGCAATTTCTGTATTTTCCCTTGCCCTTGCTAAGGCGAGGAGTGAAACAATTTTCTTGCTCGTGTTTTGCTGTTATAAGAAGTTCGGCTTTTTTTTCCCTTTTCACTTTGGCCCAAGGGGCACAGTTCCATGTGGAGAACCGAAATGTCGAGCGATAGAGTCGGAAATTCAGCCAAACAGATGATGCTTACTTGCTCGGGGTGATGCTACGCCGCACAAGGGGCAACTTGTTGATAAAGGGACTTTGTTAAAAACTAAGGTACATTTCTTTAAAAATTTAGTCGCTTCTTTTCGATTCATATGACGCGTCTCAACTGTGCGCCATTGCGCTTCCGGCGATCTTTTCCCAATACCAGCAATTTCAGCCTCTCGATGAGTTCATCATGTGTCAACGACAGGTCCCTGGGTCCAGTCGTCCACGGATGCCGTGATGACTTTGACTTCACTGTCGGATTCGAGCAAGCCGTCTTGGCAATTGCTCCGGCATCCTTATTGGTCCTGTGTTCATTGCCACGACTGTTCCAATTACCTCAAAAACAAAAGATAATTGATGAAGCTATTTTATTATGCCTCAAGATCGTAAGCAATGACTAACCGGTAATCTTACGACATCTAACACTCTGATAGTCCGCCCTCGTGGCCTACAGTGGCCTGCAACTTGGCCATCTCATTCTGACAAGTCGTGGCACGTACTGGTCGTCCCAGCTGGGGCTCGCATCCGATGCGATTAATTTTGTTGCATCCTTATTCATGATTCCTCTCTCATTTTTGGAGCATGCTCGCTCACCGCGACCGTCGATGCTGCTCGGTCTATACCTCCTGATCACCGCCTTGTTTGACATTTCTCGTACGAGAACCCAATGGCTATCGGCAGCCTCTACGAACGAATTCCACCAAGCTCGCTTGTCGATCGCGAGTGTCATTCTGAAAGTCGTTGTACTCGCCATCGAATCTTGGACGAAGACGCGAGCATCAGCTTCCGACAAGCAGCAAAGTCCGGAGGCAACGAGCGGTATCATTAGTCTTTCGACTTACTTTTGGGTAAATGACCTCTTCCTCAGGGGATTCCGCAAGCTTCTCGTCCTCGACGATTTGTATGCGCTCGACGACGCAATGTCAGCCGAGGTCTTGTACACCAAGTTTGGACCTCTTCTACAGAACAACAGAACGCAGAGTCACGAGCATGCTCTATTCTGGGGCATTGCACAGACGCTCGTAGGACCATTCATACTGCCCATCATCCCAAGGCTTTGTCAGATGGGCTTCAAATTCTGCCAGCCTCTCATGATTGAGAGCTTGTTGAACTACCTCCAGGAGCCCGTGGGCGCTTCGTCGCCGAACAAGGGGTACGGGTACATTGGTGCTGCCTTTCTCACCTACATTGGCATGGCTACATCTAGTTCTATCTACTGGTATTTTCAAGAGCGCTTCGTTCATATGGCAAGAGGTATCTTGGCCTCGGCCGTCTACCGTAAAACGACCGTCATCAGTCTGTCCGCTACAGACGATTCCGCAGCTCTGACGCTCATGAACGCCGACGTGGAGCGCGTCAAGAATGGTTTCCAGCCGATCCACGAGTACTGGGCCAACACAATCGAGGTTGCGTTGGCGTGTTGGTTGCTGCAACGGCAAATCAGCGCCGCCTTTGTCGCACCCGTCGTTGTGGTCATCGTTTGTACGGCAGCCTCTACGGTAACCGCCAAATTCACAGGAAAACGCCAGACGTTGTGGATGGAGTCTATCCAGCAGCGAGTCGGTGTCACCGCCAAAGCTATCTCGAGCATGAAGGCACTCAAGATTTCAGCCATGTCGGGACCGATTGAAAGCCTGATACACAGCTTACGCCTGGAAGAACTCAGCGTAGGTGGGAAATGGCGACTGATGCTCCTCGCGGCCGTGACGATTGCATATACGCCCTCTCAGCTCGGCCCCGTCATGGCTTTTGCTGTGACTTCTCAGACTCTCAACGTCACGCGTATCTTCACCTCCATGGCGTACCTAATGCTTTTGGCTGGCCCGTTAGGCAGCCTGTTCCAGACCATTCCGCAACTGGTTTCAGCGTTTGCCTGCTTGGGTCGTATCCAGGCGTACCTAGATAAAGACAGTCGTGTAGACTACCGCAAAACACCCGAAGCCCCACGTTCGTCAAGTTTGGAAAGTGATGCGAAACAACTGCATGCTTTATCAATCGCAGTAAAGCAAGCTTCTTTCGGATGGGCTGAGGGAAAGTACGTCTTGGACAACGTTGACATATTCGTCCCTGCCAACTCCTTGACTATCATCGTGGGGCCTGTGGCTTCCGGCAAGTCGACACTTCTGAAAGGCCTTCTCGGCGAGATCCCACATCATTTGGGGGAAGTGGTTTTCAGCGTCAACCATCGCAGGGTAGGCTACTGCGACCAATCTCCATTCCTTTACAATAGCACAATCAAGGCCAATATCATTGGGCACTCTGGACTGGATCCTGAACGGTATCGTCAGGTCATCGATGCCACAATGTTGTCTGCCGATTTTGCAACCCTACCCAAAGGCGATCGCACCAAGATCGGCAGCAACGGGCTTACCCTGAGTGGTGGGCAGAGACAACGAGTCGCTCTAGCTCGCGCCCTGTACCTCGAATGTGACCTGCTTATTCTGGACGACATCATGAGCGGCCTCGACGCGACCACCGAAGAGCACGTCTTCAACCGGGTCTTTGGCAACCAAGGCATTGTTCGTCAGAGGCGCATCACGACCGTATTATGCACGCACTCTGCGTCATTTACCACTGGCAGACCATATCATCGCACTCGGTGCCGACTGTACCGTCGTTGAACAGGGATCCTTCGTAGACTTGCAAACCAACGGGAAATATGTCCAAAGCCTGAAGATCCAAGAGGCCGATAGTACACCACAAGAAAAGAAGGAGGCATAAAGCCAGCCTGGGAAGATACCCCTGGCGCAAACAGTCACTGAAGTCTCCGACGTGGCTGACGAACCGGATAAGGCACGCCAGCTGGGCGATGTGGCAGTGTATAGGCACTACTTTGGCAGCATGGCGAAATGGGTCATTGCCGTCTTCATCTTCTGGTGTTGCGCCTACGCCTTTTGCATGAACTTTCCCACCGTCTGGCTGAAATTCTGGTCCGAGGACATCACCGCCGAGAACCCAAAGCGTTCCGGCGCGTTCTATATGGGCATCTACGCCCTTCTTCAAATAATGTGTCTCGGGGCCCTGATGGTGGTCGTCTTTATTAACACGCAGACCATGATTTCGCAGTCTGGATCGAGTTTACACCAGCGGGCTCTGCGGACGCTCGTTGGCGCGCCGTTGAGGTTCTTCGCGACGACTGACACGGGGACAGTGACGAATCTGTTTGCTCAGGATCTCGCTCTGATTGATAGCGAGCTGCCGATGGCACTGATCAACTTCTCCGTGTTGCTGTTTGCTGCTGTGGGTATGGCTGTCGTTATTGCCGTCTCTTCACCGTGGTTGGCGATTAGTTACCCCTTTCTCGTGGCGATTCTATACTTTGTGCAAATGTTTTACCTTCGGACTTCGAGGCAGTTACGTATTCTGGAGCTTGAAGCAAAGAGTCCTCTCTAGTGAGTCTTTCCGAGATCTTCAACCTTAGGGCTAAGATGACTGACGTCTTTCTCAGTTCCCATTTCATAGATACTCTCAAAGGTTTAGCGACACTGAGAGCTCTGGGTTTCATCTCTGCGGATATCACAGTCAGCAATAACCTCCTCGACACCAGCCAGAGGCCAGCATACCAGCTCGCAATCATTCAGCGTTGGTTACAGCTGGCACTCAAGTTACTCGTGGCTGCCCTTGCGACCATCGTAGTGACGCTGGCAACGCAACTGCGGGCTAGCTCTGGATTTACCGGAGCATCGCTAGTAACTCTCATGTCTTTTGGTGATACCCTGACTACAATCGTTCAGTCGTATACCATGCTAGAAACAAGTATAGGAGCAGTGGCGCGCCTGAAGACGTTTAGTGACACGGTCACACCAGAGACTGGGCCTGACGAAGATGTCATTCCCAAGGAAAGCTGGCCTGAGAAGGGCGCAATCGAGATCAAAGCAGTCTCAGCGTCTTATGGAGTCTCGAGAGATCAGTCGAGTTCAGCGAGCGAGGAGAAGCCGCCTGCGGATCTAGCCATTCGAGATCTGCATCTCTCAATCAGACCCGGCGAAAGGGTAGCTATATGCGGAAGAACAGGCAGCGGCAAATCATCGCTCATCCTCTTGCTGCTTCGTCTCATCGAGGCCTTGCCCGGGAGTGCGAGCGGTAGCGTAGTGGACTCCGTGCCTCTCGACAAGGTCGATCGAGATACTCTGCGGCGCCGCATCATAGCCGTATCACAGGACGCAATCTTTCTCCCCGACGGCTCGACAGTGAGAGACAACCTCGACCCGTTTGACGCGGCGACTGAGGGGGAGTGTCTCGAGGTCTTGGAGCAAGTGGGATTACTCGCGGGAATACAAGAGCGAGGCGGTATGGGTGCCGGGCTCGCCGCCGAGTCTTTCAGCCAGGGACAGAAGCAGCTATTTTGTCTGGCTCGGGCGGTCTTGAGGAAGCGGGTGAAGAGCCGTGGTGGTACCAATGGGGGAATTCTCTTACTTGATGAGGTTTCTTCGAGTGTTGATCGGGCTACGGATCTTGTTATGCAGGATATTATTCGAAGGGAATTTGAGGGGTACACGATTATCATGGTGTCTCATCGCCTGGACATGGTATTGGACTGTCATACGGTTGTGGTCATGGACAAAGGCAGTGTTGTTGAGAAAGGGACACCGCGGGTGTTGAAGGATCAGAAAGGGGGTATGTTTAGGGAGTTGTGGAATAGTAGCAGGACAACGGAGGAGTAGTAGCTTTTCTTAGTTAAAATATTCAGCTTGATGCAGAGAAGGGTGATGATGAGGGGTTGATGAGGAGAAATCAAGACAAATTCAGATTGATCAAGTTTCTTGCAGTGACAATCGATGTCCTGGAAAAATGCCGAACAGCAGTATCTGACAGTAGCAGTCCACCTTAGACTTGATCAACTCCTTACCAATACATCATTCAAGAGTAACTTGACGAATTCATTCAACCGAAACTTATGCCCTTTCCCTTAAGGCAAGTAACAGACTTTCGTATCAGTGTAAGTTAGCAAAACGTTCGCCGATCCTCAAGACAAATTCTACTAAGACTGGGATGGCTCTTTGCTTTCCTTCTTCCATGCCTAGAGAAACCGACTGAAGTTGATACCGACCTCACTCTCCCTTGGCCAATGTATTTCAACGCTTCAGCAGACCGAAGCGTTGTGTCACGACAGCTGAGCTTTCGACACACAGCATTGCATGATACGATTCCCTTATAGATGGTGCAATGACGATGACTCCCCTCCCATCAACACATCCCTCAGGAGTACCAAGTCTTCACAATGCCGGACAAGATATGATCGATCTAATCTCTTTATTTATCAATATATCCACTCGTTTCTCCGCCTCTATGCTAACGATGCCGACTTCCCTATCTCCCAACGCTCCTCGAAGCTGGCTGAAGACCTCCGATAATCTAGGAAGCAAACGAAACAGTCGTCTTCGCAAAGTGGACAAGCAGAGGCATTGCGCGCTCGCGTGCCGAGACTTCAAGGGAGGTATATAAAGATATCGTGCTCGGCGGCACGGCATCGGTACCTCCTAACCAGCAGTAATGCAACAGCATCTGCGTTTGATCTGATTGCAAGCATCAATCAGAACAGCCTCACTCTGAACATTGTCTTTTCGAGATTCATTGCGGACTCGTATATCAACATCGCCGTGTTCAATCACAAGACCTCATCGGTCTCCTTCTCACGAGTAATCACAACAGAATAAGTAAGTAGTAACCACCGTCTAGAGACAATGGGCCTATATTGGAAAGTAGTTTCTAATATTGTAAGGCGTGCACTTGAAATGCTTACCGCGGAGCCCAATCCCGAGCTTATTGTCATGAGACATGTCAACCCCCCTCGCACTATTGCACAAGCCGACCCGTACGACTTCGTGTATGACATGCCCGAGATTCCCAGAAGGCAGTATGCGGCTCTACTTACTTTTGTGAGGTCAGCCCTGGCAATTTTGGGGGGCTAACCGTACGCCGTTCAGGGCCCTGGCAGACGAAGGTTTGTCTTGATCAACAAGCAGGATTACTCGCAACGTCTAGAGTTCAAGGGGATTTCACTTGAGCTGATTTGCCACCTTGGTGCAGGAAATCAAACCTGTGGGTGCAACAAGATAAACTCGCAGTTTCCATGGGTATGATTTTACATGGCAGTCAAGTCAATTAGCATTTTGGGCGGACTTGCTCATTTCAGGGTCAGACATTCTAGACTAATTCCGGCCGTGCACACCACACATGGAGAAACACGAGGCCATTAGATGAACCTTAATCCTATGCAGCACAGCACCGGACGGAACTTCCGTTATCAAGGTTTGGGCAATTCCCATGAGAGAATCCTACCTGTCACTTTTTCGCGCTCAGGCAATCGGGAAACAATGCTTTGAGGATGCAGAACAAAAACAATGTGTCAGGGCTCTCTACTCTCACACTTTCTGATAACGGCCTGGACAAAGCTTGAGAGTGACGATCAAAAAGGGCCAAAACACCTTCTGTGCGTCAGTTATTTCCAAGATTTCTGGCATACGTAGATACGATTTTCCCTCGGGGGCAATCGATATCAAAGGTTGAGAGATCCTTGGCAATGTTTTCCGTACGAGGGTTATCCTGATCGTCGAGGACCGCGCCTGGGGTTTGGTGTTTAGCACCGACGTCATGTTTGCGAGGGCCAAACACCACCACAGGAACCGACAATCGGCGGGATTTTGCTTCCTTGTTCCCCTTATTTCTTTCTTGTCGTCAATTGTCCAGCATGTTGAGTCAGTGAGACAGGCCGAAAAGCCTGGAAAGAGTTGGAGTGTCTTTGGAGTCAAAGAAATGATGGGGAGGGCGTGGGAACCACACTGGGCCATTGTGTCGGAATCTCGATTTACCCCAAAGCGATCCCGTGTCAGCCTTCCTAGAGCGGAAGAAGAGCAACCCTCCGGTACGTCATTTGGCGTTTTCTTCTCGAGGATTTGCGCACCCTCCCTCTCCCGGGGCCCGGGGCCCGGAAGAAAGGAAGGTAGGGTCTGATGGAAGCAGAAGAGATGTTCAAGATGGAAAAGGGGGCGAGGCTCTCTCTAACTTCTCGGCCGGTGCGACCGGCGTCGGGTACGATAACGCGGGCCAGCCGGGCATCATGCCGGTGGCAGGGTTCATGTTGGACAGCTTTTTGGAGGGTTGAGTCTCAGTTCACATTGGGAATTCGGGGGGTGGTGACTGGCCCCTGGGTGTGTCTCCGCGGGGAAACAGTCTGCTAGCCTAGCATGGAGCTGGCGCCTCCGTCTCACGCACATTCCTTCCCTTCCCGCGCGGACGATCATGAAAATCCCCCTTGAACGTCGCGGAAAGTTGGGAAGCGTTTGGGAACGCAAGACCTCTCGCCCTTACATCAGAGTCTGGGGGAAGAATGGTTGGGGCAGCAGATCGCCCGGGCGGCGCAGTTTACGCGAAGGAAAGGGTTGTTGCACGGATCGACGCCGGCGGGCGGCGGCAACACCATCACGACGCATCTTGACATGGAACGGTTGTTGACTTGCTCTTGGCCATGGTGGTGTTGGTGGTCGATGGCATCGGCGTCGGATTGAGGTGTGGGATTGAGAGGGGGGCGTTATCCGGATCAGAACTTCAGGTTACTGTCGTCCCGTTCGTAGGTCAGCAATCTCGCTCTCTCCTGTCTCTCAATTGCCCTATTCGGGGAACCGGGTTGGAGGTTCAGATAATTGACGGATGAACCTCCGCCATGCCGGAAAGCAATAGATAGCAACGCTCAAACGCTCTTTTGGGCGGCATCGAACCCCCGGCTGGGATAAGGTGGCATGAAAAAAAGCAAAGCAGTACGGTGATAGCAGCGAAATGCGCCAGCTGTTGCTGCGTCTCTCTGTGCGATTCGCTGTAAAGTGCTGGAATGTCACTAGGCGGTGAGCGAGCCATCACCGACTGCGCCGACGAGGGATGCCGGCAGAGTCGACGTCACATGTCGAACGCCCTGCATGCGCCAGCTGCCCATTCGCTCGCCAGGCGTTTGCCAGCCCGCGAACGCGCTTCGACAGCGAACGTAAAGGACGTGAAGGAGGTGATGGACCCGGAATCGGAGCTTGTTCCCTGCACGCCCCGAGGTCTTTTGGTGGCCTTGCACGCCCTGCGCTGGAAGCCTGAGGCAAGAGTGCGTCACCATGAATTGCGTAAGCGGCCAATCAGAGACTGGCGATAACGGCGCAAACACAACAGCCAATGAGCCATGAGGACCCTGCATCGATTGATTAATGGCAGGGATATTGAAGCATGGCATGCAGCAAGGGTACCACTTTGGGGAAAGCGCGTCTGTGCTCTCTCTTGCAAGAAAAGTGGTCCGTTATCTCGATTCGCTCCTGCCCTCCTCCTTGCAAGACCCGGTACGTACTGCAGTCTAACCATCACAGGCTCAGTCAGCCTCCCAGCGAAACGGTACGGTTCAACTCTCTCTGCGTGTCAACTTTTGTCACTTTGTCTCTTTGTGGCCCGACTCGAACGACCTCTCGTAGATTTGCATGGCCTTTCTTTCGCTCTGCCTCTACGAAACGGTCCCCCTAGACGGGAGAAAAGGCCTCACATTTCACATCTTACGATTGCTGTCGACTGCTTGGCCGCCCGCCCTCCTGGGCGTGAGGATCACTGCCGATGTGACCCCAATCCAAAACTCACCGACAATCCACAACGCCCATAACCGGTCCCGTCCCCTCGGATAGCCTCACCTGATTCTGTTATCGATGAAACCAACGATGCCCTTGGAGCTTCCTGCTTGACATATCTCCGGTTGATCAAGCCCCCTGCTTTTTCAAAAGGACCCTCTGGAGAGAGATGAGGCTCGTTTAACGACGACATGTCTCATTTGAACCTCAATCCGGGGAAGACCACGTCGCTCACACGCGAGCCATTAACCTGTAGGGATCATCTCTGATGGCGGCGAAACGGCTGCCCTGGGATCCTGGACTATCTCGTCCCGGCCACCGACCGTGCCATTGGGCAAAGGGGTGACGGACAGCCACCGGGTAACGACAAGTCTCATAGAGAATCCCTTCTTGAATCGGTATCTACACACGAATAGGTACCCCAACATTCCAAGCCTATCGCTTGCTTTGCAGCTGGGGTATCCACCATTACCTGCAAAAAGCCTATCGAATCTTGAGGTTGCCGGCCGCGAACAGGACAGAGTTGGCAGTAAACCGACTCAGTCACCCTATCATCTTACAGGGATGAACAAGTACTCAGCAACTGAAATGTCGGTGTCTCTCTTTTCTGCTGTTGGGCGGCGGCGGCGGCGTCGTCGTCGTCACGGCCATCGTCGTCGTCGCCCTTGTGGTGCCACGGAAACAAGTGGCGCAGGTTTGACAGAGAGCGCATTCTGGTCTTTGTCGCTCGCGTCTCATATCCTCCGCTCCGTCAGCAATGCAACCGCGGTCTCGTCTTGGAGCGTTTCGCCTCTCCGTCAAAGGCATGGTCGGTTTGTCGGTGCCGGCATTGAGCCTCGGCCGGACGTTGCTGTCAGAAGAGGAACACGCCCGAAGCCAATAGCCAAAAAACCGCCGAAGTGCAGTGGACGGACGGGAGAGGCAGAGGCTGTGGAGTCGGCCAGATTCCGGGGACTCTTCACGTCTCCTACGTCCTAGCGCTCGGCGACAGCGAACGAACAGACTGGCGTCGCGAGGCTGTGGCAAAGAAGAAGGGGGAAGAGGCGTGGCCAGCGGGAGCTGGGGCTGGAGCT